GTTAAAAAGAAAAAAGGTTTTCCTTTTTTTAAAGAAAAAAAAAAAAAAAAAAAAAAAAAGAACATTTATTTAATGGATCCAAAACTTGGTATTACCTCTTTGCAGGGCCATGCAGAGACAGGTTCATAGAGTTCAGTTCACTAATACACATGGATAATAACAGTCATTAAGTTGTCCATTAAATGCCATTAGCATGTCCATTGAGTGACAAAGTCTGAATGCTGAAACACTTGAATTTTTTTTTTTAGGCTAAGTCTTCAACCCATGTATGTAATCATAGCACCATTTGCTTTAATGGAGCTAAACAGACTTACCTGTCAAACAAGGCTTAAGACTGGCATTTTGGTGAACGACACAGACAATGATTAATGTGCAAGAGCATATGGAAAACCACAGGCTGGTTCTGCATAAGTGGGATCCCCCACACAGGCTGTAAATGCCTCAAAAGGAACACGGTTACGGTCATTGTGTGCTCTGACTAGCTCTTCCCTGTGTGCACAACACAAAGGCAGTGGCTTTCCTGGAATAGGATAGATCATTGCAATTAAAGCTCAGGAAATATTAAGGCTGTATTACTCAAGCTTCTGGCCAGCAGATATGTACAAATATAACCTAATAATGGGCATAATTCAAGATCCAAAAATAATCCTGTTGCCGTGTGCATGCTACCCATTTGAGAATACGGCCTTTTGGTATGCTCAGGGTTGGTACTACACAATTTCTGAAGGAGTACTAAGGAATTTAACAGGAGGCTTTGTGTAGGCCTGTAAGAGCCTTTTTCTGAAGTAACGGCATAAAATATTTTCTTTCAGGCATTGAAAGATCAACTGTTTATTTTCTGTTTGACAGGTCAACATGGTGATTGGCATTTTGGTATTTAATAAACTTGTTTCCAGAGATGGAATCCTAGATAAAAAGCTCAAACACAGAGCGGGGTAAGCAACAATTGGGTTATTTTAAAGCATATTAATATTGTAGCACCAGTTTTCAACAAAAGTGCTTTTGATCATTCTTTGAACTTTTATACCAGTATAACAATGTGTATAACTGATTCCATTCATCTGAAAAGCTGCTGTTGCATTATGTGAGGGGGTGCAACTAAACAAACTAATCATAATAAAACACAAGTACAACAGTATTAAGTTTAAGAATAAGAAAGATTTTCTTTGAAGAAATCTGAGTGGAGGTTTCACACATGTAAAGTTGTTGCACTTAGGAAAAGAGTTTTATGAACTATATATACTGAAGAAACTGATTATTTTTGTCTAGCTGTCAAATTATTTACTATGGTGGGAAAAGTTATATATTTTACTGATATCCTTTACAGCAATATATCCATTACTGAGGTCAATCTTATTCTGCCACTCTGACTATGTGAAGAATTTGCCTTTGTTCCTATAGCCATGTCTATATAGATGTATGTTCTATTTTAGTGTAACAGAAATTCTAAGTAAAAGAACATGTTTTAAAGGAAAAAAACAAACAAAGAAAAAAAGGTAAATGGAAATTCTGTGTTATTATTTACTTTCGTTTACAAATTATTTTTGTTATTATGAGAAAAAAAAGATTATGACAGTAGTGGTATCAGAAACTATTTTTCAGTGGACGACAATGATTTCAAGTACTGCGGCAGCAAACCTAGATTCATTTCATATTGGAGAAAAATATTTCACAAGTGCATCATCACCTTCTTAATGCTTATGAAAGTATTTTTAATCATTGAGTAATTGTTTATTACAGTTACACATTGTAGTATTGTCTTTTGGGCCACCTTGTAGTTAACAACACCAATACCTGCATTTCTAGCAATGATAACCAGCGATGTCTACATTTTACTGTGCATTATTGCTGTGCATAAATTTATTACAGCTTCACTTAGAATTATTTTACCATCTCAGTGCAGTAGCATTACTAATAAGTTCAATTCATTGGTTAGATGAGCAAATTTATGATAAATACTTCAGCTGATATGATTTGCATTTAATATTAATTCAATTATACTCTTCTGGTTTTCAGGTCTTTCACTGTCGTTCTGACAAATATGTACCAAAAGCTTTCATTTTGTTTCTTCTCTTTTCCTTCTTTTTCATTAGAAAGTATTAATTTAATAACCTTACTTTTGTCTACATTGCTCCATCAACATTCTTAACTGTGTAATAACGCTAATGATATATAGAATATTTTAAAACTACACAAGTTATTTCAAAAATAGTAATAATTTAGTAATCACCAATTCAAATTTACATATGGTCTAATACCAGTGATATCAGGACTCAGAGAAGCCACAGGTTTCACTTTGTACGTCTTCTAAGGAGATCCACATTCAGATTTAACTGCTTTTTTTTTTTTCTCCCAATTGTAGGCTATAGAAATCTATTTGCTTATCATATACTTTCCTAATGAAACAAATAACTTGCTTTCTAACAGTGTGCAACTCAGTAAAGAGGCATTTTATTTAAAATAAATGGATAAGGCACTAGAAATTGTTCTGTCAGAAACAATCCAGCTAGTCTGGGAATGCTTTTAGAAGCCATAATGAGAAACAATCTTAACTTTGGTGGTAGTATGAGATGGTGGCTTGGCAACAGCACTCCTTGATACTACTTGGCAGATGATGGGGCCTTGAGTCATTCTTTGAGGTACAGAAATTGGTGCAGCATTTGACCTCCAGTAGAAAGGGAATTGTCACTCACTTCTCAAGTATCTCTTGCCAGCCATGCTCAGGAAGTAATTTTGTTCTTTCTGGCAAACATTGGTCTCATACATGTCAAAACTTCAGTCCAAAGGTCAGCTGAAGAAATCATTTATGTAGAACTGAAAGCAGGGAATGGTGCAAGATAAACTAACTCTGTATGCTTTTTACTACCTTAATAAGTATATGGAAAATCAAGTGGGGAAAAACAAACAAACGAAAAAAACCCAAACATATGTTGTCTTGATGGATGTCTATCATCTTCCTGGCAGAACAGATAGCATGCATATATGCCCAGCCAGAAAGATTGCATTTACTTTATGTACACGTCAAGTTCTATTTTTATTTGCAAGATCCAGGAGATAGAGGTGAAGAGAATAATCCAGTCTGATAACATTAAAGTATTGCCAAGCAAAGATGGAAAGTATTTTCCCAAGCTTAGTTTAAGACTACACAACATATTATTCTACTTCATTCATTAATGTAGAACTTTAATTGTTGTAAACTGATGTGGATCTCTGAGTTCTTTTTACATCCCACCTTGTACAAGGTTGCAGTTTTCAGGGTTTTTTTATTGAAAAAAAAAGAAAAAGCAGCATGTAGTTTTATGGAAAATATACTGCACTTTCTAATGGAAAGTCATTGTTTGGTTTATCAAAATGGAATCCACTGGAGTTCAATGCTAGTTCAGGCAATATATTAAAAATCTTGTAAACACTAGAACTGGCAATAAAAAGGAGTTCTGTTGGTTAAAATAACTGGGAGAAAAATGAAGCGTTACCTGTCTTCACCATGTTGACCACTTTCCAGTTGGGAATAAGCAAAGCATCCTTCCTCTGACATCTCAGTCAGCTATGGTTATTCCTGGATGTGATAGCAGAGAGAGAAGGAATAGACAAAGTCTTTATTTAATCTGCTCAGGAAGTTGAATGCATGCTGTCTGTAAAAGAAAATTTAAATTCCAGGTTTTGCCCTTTAACTCTTCTGACAGGTGCTGAGGTACAATTATCTATACAAAATGCTTTGAGCTTAATGCTTGTGTACTGTGTTTTATTAAAATGCAAAACAGGTCAGCCTTTTTTTAGTACTAAGTGATATTTATTTCACCAGATTCCATACATTTCAAGCCCTGTATTCAGACCTTCATGCAGCATGAATAAAATCACACCAGATGTTTGTAGGCCATCCAGATCACCAGTGCAAATCTGATTATACAGTACATCCATACTGGTTTGATGCTTGAATACATTTTGCAGGTTTCAATGCGCTGTAATTGTACATACTCCATACTCCTCCTTTAAGTGTCTTATAGTCTTTCTCAAGCAAGCGTGGATGCAACAGTCTTTTAACAGGTCTGAATAGAGGGATTTCACTTTGTGTGTCTATCCTAGCAAGTGCTTATGTTTACTTCAGTGTAGTGAGCAGGTTTGATCACTGGACATTCGGGGGCTTTTTTGGCTTAAATGGAAAAAATAAAGTCTGCATGAAATGAACCCCCATAGCATTAACGTTTAAAGCTAACAACAGTGTAAAGTACAAAGTACAGTTTTGCAACCAAGAACATTCATCCTGAATAAGTCTACTTACTTTCTCTGCATGACGTCATATTTAAAAGCTAAATTTCAGTAGCAACGTTTTTTGGTGACAATTCAATATTTTGTTCTTTTTGTGGGTGTTCTGTTTGTTTGCAGTCAGATGAGTGAGCCTCATAGCGGTTTGACGCTCAAATGTGCCAAGTGTGGAGTAGTTTCAACAACAGCTTTGTCAGCCACCACCGCCAGTAATGCCATGTTAGTCCTGATCATTTACATCTTCTTGTTACAAATCTTATACAGTGCATGTGAGACAATAGTTTGATGATGAAAACTGTTTGCTAACACTGTATAGAGTGCTGAGCATGTTTAAATACTTTTTAACAAAAAAAAAAGAAAACCCAACAAACCAACAACTGTGTTTATTAACTGAGTAAACTGAATACAGGATATTCTTTAGAACATAAAGTATGATGCTGTTACATCTTTGGCTGTGATTTTCAAGTTAACTTGATAAAGTGCCATCCTTATATATGTTTTATTTTAATAGTTAGCTTTTAATATTTTTTTTTACAATAGTACAACACTGCTTTTCTCTTTTTTTTTCTATAGGGCATCCCTTTGGAGCTCGTGTGTGGTGTTGCCACTTCTAGCCCTGACTTGGATGTCTGCAGTTCTGGCCATGACAGACAAAAGATCAATATTATTTCAGATACTTTTTGCAGTATTTGATTCATTACAAGGCTTTGTTATTGTCATGGTCCATTGTATTCTCCGAAGGGAGGTGAGGAATGGCTTCCCAGTTTTCTAAAGGACTCTTTAATGTTACATGCAGCACGCTCTGCAGAAATATATTACATAGAAAGGGAGAAGTATTTTATGGTGAGATGTAGAGGAACAAGTGAAAGGGAAAGGTGGAAGATCGGTTCATTCCAGGTACAGAATGTCAGTCCCAGTATAAAACTGTACCCACTTAATTAAAGGTGGCTTTTAATCAATCCCAAGTTGAGTTTGTTAGGCTTTCCCAATATGGTGAGTACAGGGAAACGCTAACATGAATGCTGTTTCCCTGAAGACCAAAAACTATAGATTTTTACAGTCTCTGAAACTGAGTCATGAACAAAATTATTTCTGCTTACACCTCCTTGATAGAGGACACAAGGAGATGAGGTGCTATGTTGGTGAAGATTTACCCTTTCAGTTCTATAAACTCAGGTACATACTTAAGGTTACACACTTAAGTTATGGGGACAGGGAGGAAGAAGACAGATGAATGCTTTGAGAACAGCACGCAAAACCTTCTACTCTGGCCTGATCTTCACAGCTCAGTGCCACCCACCGCAGAATTCATCACCACTGAAATCTGATGTCAAAGCTACACAAGTGCTATGTAATCTGGCTCTGGTGACAGCTTCTCTAACCTATCCAACCTGATAACTAACTGTATACAACTATTTTGCTGGCAGATCTGTGGTGGTGGGACCGCCTATCAAAAACGGCAAAGCCAGACTAAAGAGCAGTAACCTGTTCCACTGGCATAACTAGGTGTTAGCCATTTGTAGCTTCAGGATATTTACCATACCAATAAAACAACTTACAGTGTCTAGCATCATTCCTTGTGATTGGCAAGAGTTATTCAAAAGTGATCCAGGACTAAAAAAACAGGAAGATATTTCAAGAATGATTTATTGTCAATGCTGAGTAAGGAATCCCACATGGTGGTTTCCCTTTCCACTACTCACACACTTTCAACACTGAAACTCCCTATATTCATGAAAACTCTTTGTGAGTGACATAATTTATTTCGGCCTTCCATCAGTGTACTTTATTTTTTTCTTTTTTAAGTTTGCATGAACTTTATATCACCATGCTGCAGAGTATGCATACCTTATTTTCTTATCAAAGAATTAAGTTGTCAATTTTTAGGGAAAACACTTTTCAATACCTTGCAGAAATCAGTACCTTACATTGTGCTAAATATTTTCCACTGTACTCAAGCTGTTAGAGGTGATGAACTTTTGCTTTTCTTAGTTTATCATCTTTCATAGTGAAAGGGGCTTACCTCCTTTAGTACCTTTTATTTTTCTTTTTTTTTTTTTTTTATTCAGGTTAAAAATATGTGCAGAATAAGAGTTAACACTCAAGCTAAATCTATTTTATGTGGAACTGTCTTGCTAGCCCCTTATTTTTTACAGCATTTTCTTCCCCCATATGATTTGTATCTGTGAAATAGGATATTCTCATTTGTAGAACTGAAAGACACGATTTCACATATACTTTTAGTAAAATGGTAAGATGATGCAATTATTTTCAGTAGAAAGAATGGCAGTTCCATATTGGTTTTCCTGTCTATTAAATTTGCATTTCCGCTGGGATATATTAATTAGCCTGGAAAGGGCATACCACTTACTTACTGTCCTGAGGAAACATTTTAATTTTTAAATATATAACTTTAGCTCAAGTTTGGAGATTGAACCTTCAGAAACAAGGCAGTATAGACAGCATTATCTTACATAGAATCACAGAATCAAAGAATAGCTTAAGTTGGAAGGGTTCTATAAGGATCTTTGAGTCCAAAACCCTGTTCCTTGCAGCACTACCTAAAACAAAACCATACGAATAAGAATATTGTCCAGATGCTCCTTGAACTCTGACAGTCTTGGTGCCATGACCAAGGGGACCCTGGGGAGTCTGTTTCAGTGACCAACAACCTCCCTCAGTGAAAAAAACTTTTCCTGATGTCCAATCTGAACTTTCCTTAATGCAGTTTCATTCCATTTCCTTGTGTCCTAATTCCATTTCCTTATGTGCAGCCTGATCTAGTGTGAGGTGTCCCTGCTCATGGCAGAGGGGTTGGAACTGGGTGATCCTTGTGGTCCCTTCCAACCCTGACAGATTCTGATCTGTTTTAGCAGAGGACTTTAGAGCCCTGATGGCTCAATGGTTGGACTTGATGATCTTGGAGGTCCCTTCCAACCTAAAGGATTCTATGATTCTATGTCCTTTGTGAGAATGCAGAGAGGCTGCAACATATATGTGGTTATCAGTCATTGATTTTGTAAAAAAAAAAACAGACCAAAATCCATGTGTAATTCTAAAAGTAACATAGCATAGTAGTTCAGCCATTAAATCCTGACTCAGTGCAGTAACGCCAGAGTTTATTTGGAAAAAAAAATATTTTGACTACTTAAGATGAAATTGAATGGGCATCTTCCCACAATGCCTCAGGCTTTGAATTCAAGACAGGTTCTATTCTCTAATGACAGCTATTTGCTGCAAATGCTTCATTCCCAAGGAACACTGATATTCCTGAACATCTCGTGGTAACATTCTTGTCTGCTCTCACAGATAGAACTGTGGTGATAGATAATGAATTAGTCTTTTCTATAAGTAAACTCAGTTTTCAATTTTGTAGGGTACCTTGACTTGAACAACTTTTAATTCACTGGTTCTAGTGCAAGCAATATGCAAAAATATCTTCTTGTAACAGGAATTTAGAATTGTAATTGCTTATGCATTGGTAATTAGATAGCTATGGTTAATTTTATTGCCTGCTCTTTTAGCAAATCACAAAAACATATCTACCTACAAAGAATCATTACTTTGTTTAACTTTTTAAAGGAGTTGTTCATGCGTCTTGGCAGTAACCTAGTCAATCTATATACATGGTATTTTAAAAAATGACCTCAGGAGAAGATTCCCCAATGAGGCCCAGAAAGCACCTAGGTTTGATAAGGTTGTCCCTTACCAAAAAGAGGAAGGAGTTTTTTTCTTCAATCACAAGAACTTTAAAAGAAGTAAATGTACAGAGACAACTTATTCACTGATCAGGATGTTATATCCAGTCAAGATGATGGTAGTGGTGGTGGTGAAAGACCAAAAAGCCTAGGAATATTGCTCTTTGAACTCTATTTGACAGAACACAAGTTGTCCTTTCTTTAGGACACAAATAGTCTTTTCTTTAGTTTTCTGGATTTAAACTGTCAATGCTTGAAGAAGTAGTTAAGGTGGGTTTTTTTTTATTTTCATATGAGAAAAGAAAATGAAGAGAAAGAAAAACTGATGCACTTGAAAAAGATTTTTGTTTCAAAAATGTGTATGATCTGCACTTATATGGACCAGTTTGCAGCAGCAAAGATAAAACTGTTGACTGCAACAAATTCCTACACGGAAAGAGACATGACTGCAGTACGTTTTGTTCTAATCTGGCTCTAGTGAGACTGGCTTTCTAGCACCCTTAGGTGAGTACAAGCCAAGATAGTGGCTATCATGCAGTGTGCAATGCAGTCTTTGCACTGCATGGAGTACCTCCTCAGCTGAAAGAATAGTCTGTTACTTTCTGTTGTCTGCAAAAGCATTTTGCTCTGCCAGTGCCTGTCAGGGAAATCCTGCCAACATATTTGTCACTCTTGATGACAGCTACAAAGCTATCTCAGTTATAGCCTAAAGGATTGATCTAATATTTATAGCATACCAGCACAGGCAAAACAATAATTCTGACTGTCAGGAAAAAAAAAAAAAATATAGGGTGGAATATATCACCATGAAATTCGAACACAGAAGAGGACAGCTCTGCTTTACTGTGCCTTTTACTGTCATTAAATTACAAACAGACACAGACTTCTACAATTATATATTTAAAACCCCATGTTTTCCTCTTAGTTATATTGATATAAACATAGTGATGGAAGCATTTTTTACTTTCTCTGGTGTGCTGTGTTTATGATCTTGTGTGACAAGGGCTGCACTAGTAAGCCAGGGAGGTTCACTGAGTAAGACACAGGACTAGAAGAGAAGTGATGTGTCTGTTTCTGCCATCCATCAATGTCTTTTGGAAGGACATGAAATCTTTCTATACTTCTGTTTCCTAACTTCTAAGATAACCATAATACTTGTTAAGCATGAGATCTCTTATAGACAATTTGAAAATCAGGGAAAAAAATGTCAAATAAGAGTTAGGTTATAATATAAAAAATTATAGCTTTAGGTTGCCCTCTTAGTTCAGAAAGCCTAGGATTTTTTGCTCTCTTCTTGCTGTTTAAATACGTAATTGGGCATTGGAAGATGGTGAGGCATGTGTCACTGAACAGAGCATGGTAGGAAAGGTTAGTGCTGAAGCTTCTCCCTCAGAGCACAATGGTTGGCTTAACTTGCTTGAACACGAGATTGTCTAGAGCTAGTTCGAATCACACCGAGTAACTCCCGTTAATGCTGGTGATGGGAGGAACCCACATGTGTTTTCTCCTTTTGCTGTGCTCTGCTGACTAGAGAGCATTTGGATTAAATGCATCATTGGCGTCTAAAGCTCACATTTCTGTACTGCCGGAGACAAATAAAGAGTGCATGAGTAGGGAGAGGGTAAGTTATAAAAGCGTGGAGTTGGTTACTGTTGCCAAGGAAACCACTTCCCTGGTATCCGTACATTCATCACATCTGCCTCTCCTGCTCTGCCTAGGTCTAAGTCTTGTAACTTGATGGTAAAATGAGGGCAGTGGGGGGAGGAAACAAGATTATGTTTCCTTGTAAAATGAAAAGACGGCACAGTCTTTACATACTCAAACAAGTCTGAACAAGCTACTTGGGAAAATAGGCTGGTATTTAGAAAATTCAACCTTTTTGTTTCTGATTTGTGTGAGGACACCTGGAAGTTGCAACATATGTCATTATGATGGATACAGCTACATTTGACATTCTGGTAATATGTTCAAATCATATGCTGCTTGCACTTCAGGAACATTGTAAGAAATATGCACATTTAAGAAGATCATAGCATGAAGATTCACTGGTTTAATATAGAAGGTAGTGAAAGTAGGACAAGAAATTCTTGAGATCTTTGGAGCTATCTGAACTATGAAAATTTCATGAACTTCAGAGTCCAAAAAAATGAGTGACACTGCACAGAGTGAGAGGTCACATAGTGTATTCTGAAGTAATAATCCTTTCAGGTCAAGCATCATGAGGATTGAGATGAGATTTACCACAGCTGGGGATACTTTGGAGGGTTTTTTTTTAAATTTTAAATTAATTTTAAATCTTTTTTTTTGGTCAAGTCATTGTGCTAGTGCTTATCCATGGGCACAGAAGTCTGAAATGTGACCTGACTTCAACATTGATAAAATGAGAGCAGTCTTGGATTAAATTTGCAACTGGGAGATAGAAAATTAAATTAACATTAAACACATAGAATAACATAACAAGTGTGGTGCTTAAAATCAGAATTGGAGTCACAACACAGGTCAAATACACTTTGCATAATCCTACCAGATGTGGGAAGTCTCTGTATTTTGCAATCAATCCTAACTTTCCCACCTAGTTTCATTTTTCTTTGTGCTTTCTATTATTCTTTCTTCACCTACAACAGTCATTTGTCAAGACCGCAGAGCACTCTCACTCATTTAAGGGTTGACCATTTTAAAATAATGCTTCCTAATTACAATTATTTTTTTCTATTTCATTTTCCCTATTGTGAAAGCTCTTAAACATGCTTTTTCAGCAGCAACAATTAATGAATTATCCTATTCTGCTGTTCACAGAATGTCCATGGGTAGAACACAATTATCTCCCTTTTAATTAATCTCAATAAGACATCAAGTAATTTCCACAGATAATAAATGGAACGTAAATTGTTGTAGGCAATGTCACTGAGAGTATTTTCATATTACAACAAGAAATGATACTACTTTGTTTTGGTTGAACATCACCCAGCTAAGAAAACATCCCATTTTCCAAGTCATATCTTGCAATCGGTTTGCAAATATGGATACTTGCATTTCTGAAATGAAAGTCACAGACTGAGAGAGTTGGGGCTGTTCAGTCTGGAGAAGAGAAGGCTCCCAGGTGACCTTATTGTGGCCTTCCAGTATCTTAGGGGGGCCTACAAGAAAGCTGGGGAGGGACTTTTTAGGCTATCGGGTAATGACAGGACTAGGGGGAATGGGGCAAAGCTGGAAGTGGGCGGATTCAGGCTGGATGTGAGGAAGAAGTTCTTCACCATGAGAGTGGTGAGACCCTGGAATGGGTTGCCCTGGGAGGTGGTTGAGGCCTCATCCCTGGGGGTCTTTAAGGCCAGGCTGGATGAGGCTCTGGGCAGCCTGATCTAGTGGGAGGTGTCCCTGCTCATGGCAGAGGGGTTGGAACTGGGTGATCCTTGTGGTCCCTTCCAACCCTGACAGATTCTGATCTGTTTTAGCAGAGGACTTTAGAGCCCTGATGGCTCAATGGTTGGACTTGATGATCTTGGAGGTCCCTTCCAACCTAAAGGATTCTGCGATTCTATAATTTTAAAAAGTAGATTGTTCTGTTATATTAGAATGCATCTGACTATACACATAGAAGTGAAACAAATTTGGTTTTGCTTTAGGTTCTTTGTATACATTTGAAGTACTGGTAATAATATAACTTTCCTTTCCAAACGTTGCCTTGCTGTCCCTACTATGGTATGTGTGAGAAAGCAGCAAAGTGTATTTCCATTCTATTGTCATTAAACAGGAACTGCATTTTTCTTTTGAATGGCCCTCTCTGTTCAAACACATACTTGTGACAAAGGTGTTGCATAATATTTCTTTAGACATACGTTGTGCCCCAAACCAAAGTTCAAAAAAAAAGAAAATGTCTCAAATATATTTGTGGTTTATGGACAAATCTTCAAATTGACTTTATGGGTCATATTAATAAACAACAATTTCTGAGAAGTTATTTTTTTATTTAGTTTCAAGAAAATGGACTCTGTGCCAACAATCCACTTTTCTTCTCCTTGTGCTCACACTGAAAATATGTACTTGGTCTGAAGAATTGATTGCTAACACATTTGGATGAGATTCCTTATGCATGGAGTTAGGGCTTATGATGTAATTAGTAACATTCAAATTGGCTTATTCTTTAAAGTACAATTAGGAGACCTCTATGACTCTGATTATAGTAACTGTATTATATTTATCAGGCAGAAGATACATTGTATTTTACAGTGGTTAAGAGTATATCTATTAATCCTGCTATCAGACCTGTACCAAACAGAATGGGAAAACAAAGCCAAATACTACCACCCAAGACAGATTTGGCTTGGGTACCAGATCATCACGGACTACTAGTTAATTCTGTCCATAGGCAAATCTAATTCTGCAGTCGTAGTTGGTAGTGTGACAGCCTTTGCAACAGTCACAAAATATAGCAAACACATGGAATGGCAGAATTCAGCATTTATGTCCACTGCTTCTGATTTAGTAAGTACACTAAAGAAAGTCATGCATTGCATTCCATATAGTTTAGTTTAAACTTTATTAGGAGTAGAGTACGTGCTGTTGAAGAAGAATCAGTGTGAGATATTGTTTTCACAGGTCCAAGATGCATTCAGATGTCGACTGAGAAATTGCCAGGATCCAATCAATGCAGATTCTTCAAGTTCTTTTCCTAATGGACATGCTCAAATCATGGTTAGCTGTTATTTTACTTCTTTGACCCTTAATTTAGTGTTCCTATCCAAAAGAAAAACCTACATTACTGTACATGGCAGATATGCACAGATGAAAAATTAACACTGTTTTTAAGCATAATTCTATTTAGACCATTACCTGATTCCCTGAATCTCTTATCAAGTTTTAAATTATTGGTGTGATCATTCATTGGAAAACACCATGAACTAGTACCTTCCACCAGTGTTCTTTATGACAACCGATTCTCACATAAGAAAATGGGCAAATAATCTAATAATGTATCATGACTTTTCCTACTGTTGGTATAAAGAGCACTGATATATTTGAGAGTCTTGCCTTCATGATGCCTTCAAATACGTTTTTTTTTCAAAATAATTCAGGTAAGGAGAATGTGCTAGAAATTCTAGAGAATGAACTATTAATTTAGTAGCTTGAATTAAGGAGATAGTGAATGGCTTAATATTGCAATTCGGATTTATTAATATTATTAGTTAGTATATTAAGACCAAATATTGGTCCTTTCACTTTCAGTGACAGTTTGTCATTGACTATAATGGGGACAGGATCAGGCCCTAAAAAAAAATTCAAGGTTCAGCAAGCAGATGTCCTTCAAAAAATGACAAATCAAAACTGATCCCAATGTTTGGGTTTCACAAGCAAGAAGACAATTAGTTTTATTAAATGTTTTTCAGATAATGAACTTTTTGTGGAAATAAAGACATCATTTAAAATTAATTTAATTCTATAGCAGGATAAATAGTTTTATTTAACTGGGAAAAGTGTGCTTGAATTTTCAACTGTTAAAATTAATTCTTAGCTCTTACAATTTGTTTTTGCCCAAAGGAAAAATTAATGTTGTGTCCAGGGAGTACAAAATTTATGTGATTGCATTAGTAGCAAGGATGGACAGAATCCTATCAAAAAAAAAAAAATAGCAATACTTAATAAATTAATGTAGTTTCAGACAGGGTAGACTAATTGAATTACGCTTATTCACAGTAATTTGTATTGCAGGCTATTCTACATACTTCTGTTCATAGAATTGCTATGAAAAGCTTCCTTAAAGATGATCCTTCCATGAGAAGTAAAAGTTATTCTTCCATATACATAAAAAACTATACTCTGTATCATTTTATTAAAATTATATACTCTATTTCCACTGTTTTGTTTTATTTTTTCTGGTCAGGCAGCATACTTTGAAAACCACCCAGTTGTACTTTAGGAAACTTTGTAAAGCTCTGCTGTTGTAAAACAGGACACTTCACCTTTTCAGCAACAACAAACCAGTTTTAAGAGACTATGGCTCTGTAAGATGGACATTTGGAAGTGCTAGTTGGCAAAAAGGTATTGTGGTTTAGTTTTCTGTTAATAATAATTGTCCTGTTCCCTTGTTTCTTATTACAGACTGATTTTGAAAAAGACGTGGACATTGCTTGTCGGTCAGGTAAGAACACTGAGACTGTATTTAGCCAACAGAAAGATGTCTTGCACTAGTTTCTTGTTAAGTGAAAACCAGAAAAATATCAAGATTTAATAGTTTACATCTCATATTTATAAATATTTTTTGTAAGTGATGCCACTGTACACATACATTTCTATTATTTTCTTACAAAAGTCTTTTACTATAATTTAATAATTAGGAAGCAGCAAAAGTTGTGATTGTCTGTTGGAAAGCAGATAATTTGGGAAAGAATATCAGTCTTAATACACAAACTTTCCTCGCCGTGGTACACAAGCAAATGTGAAACTATCAGTTTGCTATTAAAAAACCAGTGCATCTTAACAGCTATGATATGAAGGATGCATCAGTTGGTGTTAGTTTTAAAGTGAGTAAGTATTTTAGGATGCTAAGTAAAATCAGCGTTAGCTTAAGCAACACGGTATCAGGAAGATTAAATTTGATTCCACTTTACTGAAACAAGTTGGGGGTTTTTAATGACATTTCAGTAGTGTGGTCTGTAACTAGTCAGCTATGTCTGTTTCCACGTATTAAAAGTAACACATTTTAAATTATTTACATGTCAACCTGGCTTAAATAAAATAAATTGTAAAATAATTTACTATTTAAACCCTATATAAAGTTTTAAGTCCAGAAGATATTCCCAAAGGACAGGTTTTCCTAGGACATTGATCCTGCCTAGGCACCCTCAGTTTTCAGTGAAGAGAGGAAGAAAGAGACAGCTTCCCTACACAGGGTGAGTCAGGCAGAAACCTGACTTAGCTGTTCTGCATCACCCACCTGAAGGACACTGTCTCTCTTCACTGGCTTTATGGGGAGCCAAGACGGCAGACTTCTTTTAGGTAAAATTTGAGTTACCCACCTTTAAAAAGCTGCCAGTTAAGTTTCTTGCAATATGGTAATAGTTCTTCCATATAGATTAGTTTTGATATGCACATGTATTTTAAAGGGAGCAGGATAGTATGTTGTAACAGAAATGCATGTTGGTCACCATCCAGTGTAGGCAAAAGTCCAGCACTGGTCCATGTAGTTCCTGCTTCTTACCTTTGCCAGCATAGCTCTGCAGTACAAAGAGCCTTGTCAGGGGCATCTTTAAGAAGCAGAACTTTGAATACACTCATGAACAGGCTTTACTAGATATTCAAACTCAGTTTCTTTTAATGAAAGATTTAAGAATAGGTCACAGGTTGAAAAGTCTTAGCAAGTGCGACTAGAAACAATGAAACAGCCACAGTGAAGTCGAGTATTTGTGCACTGTTGTTTAGAGGCAAGTTGTTCCTTTTATAATGGAAAAATGAGAGGTGGTTTTGTGTGCAGTAGGACAGTGGGATACCTTATAACCTGCTTGCTATGGAACATGGGAGTGAACTGAAAGGTAGGGAGGGATCTGGGTCATCAGAGACCTAAGGCTGCCAAAAGGGATGTGAATATAACACCCAAGATACTTCAGGTTGTCTTAGTGTCTCAGACCATGAGCTGGACAAACTAGCACTGGTGTGATTTAAAATATTTTTAAATTGGGACAAGAAAGTCCTTGCACCCAGCTGGAATAAATCAAACAATTCTTTAGTTTTTTTTCTCACTATCTATACTTCTCCTTTCAATGCAAGTGTTGATATATAGACATATTTATTTTTTAAGATAAATAATTGTGATTGAATAGATGCTTTGCTTTCAAATGTATCCTTCAGTGCTCCTGGAGATTTTGTGTTCTGTGACAGGATTAATAATTTTTACACGTGGAATTTACTGCAACAAAAAATTGCTGGATGTTGCTAGAAGTTTGACCAGGAA